AAAGTACTCTAAACTGTATAAATAATGTAAAATTAAATTGAATTTATTAGCCAATCAGACGAACTTCTGCCTATGTGATCCCAAATGCCGTATGAATCCCAAATACTGTATGAATTCAAAAATTCCATGTCGATATTCAAAATTAATGCAACTAAGATTTGGTTACCAATTAATCTATGTAATTAATCAATCATGTAATTAATCAATCATGTAATTAATCAATCATATAATTAATCAATCTTATAATTGATCATATGTAATATAATGATAATAAAAATTGTTTATATATATTTTTTTGTAATCATTTTTTTTTTCTTGAATTATTTTCAGCGAAAGTTTGTTTAGTTTCTTTATGATAAATTTAAGCAAAAATAAAAATAATTCTGTTCGGGAAGATAATAATAATTATGATTTCTACATTTTATTATCTGAATTAAATTACAATGTTAATCAACTTTTTACATATCAATCTTCTCAACAACTAACAAGACTGATTCAAGAACAAAAAAATGAAATTATTACGTCTTCTCAAATTAATGATGATCATGATGTCATATTTGGGGAAGAAAGTTCTTCTGAACAACCTAAAAAAAACATCATGGTGAGTCTAAATAAGATCCAGTCTGGATTATGTTGATATTGGTGATCATTTAGGAGATAGGCATTACAGAGTTATTGTTCAGTTGTATGGAATTATGAAAGGTTACAAATTCTTAAATGACATTTGGCATAAAAATGCATAAATGTTCTTCAACAAATTAAGAAATATGGCATAATAGTTTAGTAATAGAATAAAAAACTATTAAAAGATAGAATAAAATTGAGTCTAGATTGTTTTCTTTATTTAGTATTTATAATTAATTAGATTTTGAAATTATATTAAAAGAAAGCCAATGCCAAATAGATAGAGCTGTTTTGAAGAGTTGGATTTGTGCTGAAATTCTATTTGAGACTATAGATAACCTCTTTATTATTGACATGTTTAAATCTTTAAATATTAGATACAAACCTCCTTTATTATTTACTCTTTTTGAACATATTCTAAATGAAATTGCTAAGATTGAAAAATTAATTGATGCTAAATTAAAATATAAAACAAATTTAATCTTAAGAAATAAAATTTATATTATTGTAATTTTTTTAATACTTAATTTTTTTTAATAAACATATTTGTAATTCTTGATAAATAGATTGCATTTACAGATGTATCATTTTACAATTATATAATTACAACTCCTAATTAATAAAAGCATTTATTTCAAATTAAAGATTTTTTACTATATCACAAACAGAAAATTTTTAGCTAAGAAAATTAATAATATTTTATATGAAGTTGGTTTTAAAAAATTTAATGCAATTGTTACAGATTATGATTCTAATATAAGGTGAGCAAGACAACTAGTCAATAAGCAATTTAATTTTATACTTAACATATAATATGATGCATATATGATAAATTTAATAACATTAGATTTGACTGAAACAAATAAAATTAAAATTTTAATTAAACAATATGGATTAATAGTAAATCTTTTATCATTTATTAGTAGCTAATGAATATTTAAAAAAAGATATAGCAATTATAAATATTAAAAGTAATGAGCTCAAAATATATAATAAAACACAGTGTAGTTCATTTTACATAACTATAAATTCTATAATTTGTGCACTGTTAATATTTGTTTAAGTAAATTTATTATTATTATTATTATATTTTTAATTAACTAAACTAAATTTAATTATTAACAAATATATTTATTTATTAGCTTATTAATAATTATGCAATTACAATTAGAAGTGCAGACATTTTTGTAGCAATACTACCTTAATTATGTTATAGTTGCAATATTACTATCACAATTTGTTGTAACACAACATATATATTGTTATGGGTCATAATATATGACATAAGTTAGAATAGATGTTTAAAGTTGTAGTAACCTTCATAGGTTATACTAAATGTTATAGGTCACAATACTTGTCATATTTATATATTGAGAGTTAATTTGAACATTAGAACATCTAGCATTTTAAAAGAAAATAAAACATATTGTTTGAACTTCATAATTTGATGCAGATTATATAAGCTTAAGAAGTAAGATAAATTATATAGTTTAAATTATAATATTAACAAAACATCAACCTAATTAAATATTAATACTAGAGTTAGATCAAAAGGTTTAAATAAAACATCTAAGCAGGGGTATTAAGTATAGCAATTGGTAGAGAATTCTTAGATGAACTCCTTAAATAGGTAATATAAAAAAGTTATACATATAGCCAGTTGTACATTTGTCTGACAGTTCAATATAGATACATCTGTATAAAACATGTATTTGATATAAGTATTAATAAAAAGCTAAAACCAAAAAGGTCACTTTAATACTAAAAAAAATTAATCAGGTTAAATGTAAATACTTTGCATAATTTTCAGTTGATTTTATATAGTGCAATTATTTAACTAAACTAATTTAGTTATTTTTTAATGCTCTTTAGAACAAAATATTTTCAAATATTGAGTTGTGTCCTTTATAATAATTTAAAAATCATTTTAGTTACAATATTACATATTATTTATTTATAAGTATAAAACTTTTTAATATGCAAAAACTAATATAAAATATTTAACAAATTTAATTTTAGTTTCAAATATTATTAAAAGTAAACTAAAAAAGTAAGTTAAGCTGAGTTTGTAAAACAAAAATATTTTTTAAAAATAGCATAATTAATAAAATACTTATATATACATATATAAAAAAATATCAATCTTCCATAAATTTTTTAACTAAAAATTAATTTACCAACTCTTTAGATAAATAATTTATGTTTTTAGACTCAGTTAATATATTATTATTACTTATATTGCTTATTTTTTGTTTATTCTTAGAATGATATTATAACAAATTAATTATTTTATTAATAAGTAAATCATCTTGCATAAATTCAATATCCTTAAACAGTTCTAAATTAGGCAAATCATTCTTTTCATTTAAAGCTAATATCTTACTAATTGCTAAAATATTAACAGCCTTATATAATTCAGCCTTTATAAGTCCTTCTTTATAGCTGCTTAATTTGGATTTTATGTTAGTTATATAATATAATCTAACTTTAGCTATATCTTTTAATTTTTTATTACCTAATCTTGTTCATTTGTTACTTATAGTTTATTTTAAAGTAGAAAAATTTCTTTTACAACCTGCTTGTAATAAAGAAATAAAAAAAAGTCAATATGCTAATATTGTAAAATAATGAGGTTCAGATTTGATTGATCCTCATCACAAAATTGATGTATTTATTCTTGTAATATATAGCAAGTTATAAAAAGATAGTTTAGTATCAAAACATCAAAGTTGAGTAATTAATTTTCTACTTACTTGTTTACTATAATTTAAATTTTTCAAAAAATAATAGCAACAAATACAGCTTTTTTAAATCTGCTATTTTTAAGTCCAAAGCCTATTTTAAAAAATAAATTTTAATCAAATTATTTATAATTAGATAATATATATCAAGAAAAATCTAACTTTAAATATATAAAATTTATATAATTGAAACCTGATTTTTTCTTTAATAAAATAGTAGATATTTAAATATTATAATAGTACAAATATACAAAATATAATAAAAAATAAATAGAATATTAAAAATTCTTTAAACTATTTATTAAATATATTAATTATAACTTGCTTAAACAGGATACTTGTAGAAATTTGATAAATAATTACTGCAATTTTAATTAAATAATTAAACCAATTAGTAAATTAGCTATATTTGCTTTAAGTATTGTAATAACTTCCTTTATTGGTGTTCAAATAGATCTAATTTGTTGGCATGCAGTAAAGAATTCATTATCATTTAGTAATATAAGAACTTTGAAGTTTAAAATAATATCTCGTTGTTCTGTTAATATCTATTTTAAAAAATAAATAATTAATATATATATATATATATAGTAATTAAAGTTTTTATTATCAACAACACTTTTTACTAATCATTTGTATACAAAAACAACAAAAGCAATTTTAAAAGGTTTCTTAAAAATAACTGTTCAAACTAACTTTATAGGCTTAAAGAAAAAGATAAAGCTTATGCAGAAGGTATAACAAGGTTAAGAACAGATAACTAAGTCACTTAGAAATAGAAATAAAAAAAATGTTTTAGTTGAACTTTAAAAAGTTAAATTTTGTGAATTCACTATGATCTAAAAACATAAATTTGTTGATCACAGTGATATATGAACATATAAACAAAATAAATACATATTTAAATAGACATATATACAAATCTAATTAGAATAATGATTGGTATAAGATGAAAAAAGTTCTAGAACAAACAAGCAATAAGTAGAAAATATTAATAACAAGCCAAGAAGATGAACATTATACAAAGTTAAAAAGAAAGTCTAATGTTAACTTATATCAAAAGAGCATACTTGGCAGTAAATAATATATACAACAAAGTGTTTATTAATTAAGCAAGCAAAGTTTATACAACACCAGATAGAGAAAATAAGATTGTTGCTATATTGACAGAACAAAGTTCAATAAAGGTTGTTTTGCTTTGTATAACAAGAGAAATAATTATACAACTAGAAGAAAACAATCAGAAAGAAAGAATAACATCATTAAGCAGAATAAAAAAGAGTTAATAAAAGAAGTAGTAACAAGACAAGTACAAGATAAAAAAGAAGAGATATAATAGCAATTAATAATAGTAAATAAAGATCAAGAAAAATCACACAAGATAATACAAAAGATTGAAAATGAAAAAACAAAAAGAAAAAAGCACAAGACAATATGAAAAGTCTGCAGAAAACAACAAGTGTAAAGATAAATCAGATGAATATTAATTAAGAAAAAAGAAATATATTTATATACAAGAAAAGTATAGAAGAACAAGAAGAACAAAAACAGAAAAATACTAAGACATATAAAAAAGACTTAGGACTCAGCCTAGTAATAAATATAACAAAAGAACAAGTAATAAAGAAAACAAAACTTGAAAAAAAAATAAATATAGTTGGTGTACCTCTAGAAGAGAGCATTTGGGTACTAAGTAAAAGAAGTTGTAACTAAACAACAGTTTAATTGTCAACATACTAGTATATAATGTGTCAGAAAAAACAAAAAAAGAATATATAAAACTTATCAGATAGTTATTAAGAAACAATCTATATATTAAAGATGTTAAAAAAGTTTTTTTTTAAAAAAACTTATAGATAGAAATAAGCTTTAACTGTGAATATGACAAAAATAATGCAATACAAAAAATTAGTAAGAAAGAAAGTAATTGGTATAAAATAATACTAGAAGATAAAAAGAAAAACAAAAATAGAAAACATAAAAGATCAAATAAGAAAAAACCAACAAAAAAAAACAACTTACCAAGATCTAAAAAAAAGAAACAAAAACAAAAGAAGAATAAAACAAAGATATATGAAGATCAATATAAAACAGATAAAAAAGTATAAAAACAAAAATTACCTAACAATATAGAACCTATCAACAGATATAAACAAGAAGAAACTAGAATATATCTGTAGAAAATTTGAGAAATCACATATAATAGAAATTAAAAGATCTAAGTATAAGGTTTTAGCAATAGTGCAGATAGAAAAAACAAATTAAAGAGGTATTCTATGAGTTATATTAGTAAATAATAATAAACTAGTATGAGTAACAGTAGAAAGAGAAGACCATGAGGCAAGAGAAAGTTAGAAGAAATATATGGCAAAGTTAACAAAGTTACCTGAAAATGTCTCAGAAGTTTTGCTTCTACAAAGTTTAAGAAATAGAAAAGTAAAGTCAGTCTATATTCTACTAAACAAAAATAAAAACCAGAAGAAAACAGTCATAGTTATGTTTGTAACTAAGAAAAATATGAAGACAGCTCAGTCAAAATCAATTATATTTAACAATTTTCAATTATATTAAGTAAACAAAGAAAAAAAAAATAAAGAGAAAAAAAAGCCTGGTTAGAGAAAAAAGAAAAAGCTGAAACAAATTTAGTTAAACCTCAAATATAGAAAATAACAAAAGCAAAGAAAAAAAGCAAAAAAATAAAATATATATAAATAAAACTTAAAAAAGAAAAAATTTTAAACTTTTAAATTAAAGAACAAAAGAAAGAAATAACACTCATAACCAGAAGTCAGAAAACTAAATAAAACATAAGCAAAAGAAAAATACATATAAAGAGTATCAATAGAAATTAAGTAAATTGTTTTTAAGTAAATTTTTTTTAAACTTTAAAGCAAAATATCTCAACAATTATTAAACCAAACTTGATAAATTTTTTTTGGTTTAATTCTATATAGTTATAAATTAAAATAAAAAAATTTATCAAGTTTGATTTAATAGTTATTGAGATATTTTAATTTAAAATTTAAAAAAACATACTAAAAACAATTTGATTGGTTTCTACTAACATTTTCCTATATGTAGAAGACATATTAGGTTAAATCTAAGAAAGATTAAAAAAATTAGAAAAGCCAAAAGAGATAGCAGAAGAGAGCTCTGCCAATTACTCTTGAAGTTGTCATGGTTAAAGCAATAGAAATAGACAAGAAGCTTGAAAAATTTCTGCAAAAAGAAAACAAAATATTTGAAAAAGAACAGTACCTTTTTGTTTAGAAAGAAAAAAGAACAAAAAAGAAAAAGAAAAAAAGAACAAAGAAACAAAATAAAATAAACTAAAAGAAGAATGAAAAAAAGAAAAAAATGAAATAAAGATAACATATTATAATATAATAAGTTAAAAACCAAAGATTAGAAGCTTGCAAATTTGCTCAGCTAGGCAAAAGAGGAAGAAGTTGTAATATTAAAAGTTATAGAGACAAATCTTACAGAAAGAGAAAAAAAATTTCTAACTTACAAAGCAACAAAAAGATATATTAAATATTAAAGCAGTGAAGCAGAAGACAAAAAAAAAATTAGATATAGAAATTCTGGTAAAAGAATACTGAAAAAAGTATGTAAGTGCAGTTAAGAAGATAAATAAGTATATAATAAAAATTATATTATACTTCAAACAATTGAAGTTAATAGTAATAAAATATATATGTCACCAAATAATAAAGAAGTAAAAAGAAGCATTCAACAAAAAATAGTAGAGATCATTACAAAAAAGGAAAGACAAACAAATACAAGTTACTATTATGGGTGATTTTAATTATATAACAAACAATGTCCTAGATAGACAGAATCCACAAGCTGTAAGCTTCAAAAGATTACTAATCTTTAACTGAATAAGACAACAAAACTTCTATAATATATAAGAGAAATTTATCTGACAGAACAAAGATAAATATAGTCAAATGCAGAAACAGCAACAAGAATTAATTATATATAGATATTAAAAAAGCTAGCTTCAGATTTACAAAAGACAGAAATTAAAAAATAGAAAAAATCACTGAAAATAATTACAAGATAGTAATAGCAGAAATATGAGTTAAGTACATAATAGCAGAAATATGAGTTAAGTATATAATAGCAAAAAGTAGCAAGACAGAAGTCAAAAGAAAGAAGCAATTAAGAACAATATTTCTCTATAATATAGCAAAAGATGAAAAGTGAAAAAATTATGTGCAAAAATTATATAAATGTTTAAAGGTTAAAGAAGCATTGAAGCATATTTAAAAGAAGAACAAAAAAAAAAACTATATATATAAAAGATCAATGATATATGGAATGTAATAGAAGAGGCAATCATAACAGCAGCAAACAAATATATATTCAAAAATAAAATTTACAACACAACAATGAACAGAAGGCATAGTTAAGAAAACCAAAATCAAGAAAAAATTATCATAAAGCTTTAAAGATTAATTAAATATATAAAGAAAAAAAAAACTGATAGTTTTAGAAACAGAAAAAAGCAAAACAAATAAAAAACTCAAAACATTAGTCAAAAAAGTTAAGGTAAGGTTACCAAAAGTTCAGAGAAAATGGTCTAATATTTGAATAAAGAACATAAAAGATTGACAAAGAATTTTTCAAAAAAAAAAGAACAAAGAAGATAAATAGAAGAAAGCATAGACAAAATATATGAAATAATCAAAACAGATCAAGAAAAAATGATAGTCAGCCTTTTAAACAAACTATATAAGAAGATAATATTTAACAGATAATTAAGCAGACAGAAGAAGAGAT